AGTGAGGTGTATTTTGAGGCGCCTCAAAATCCGCGTGCAGTGAGGTGTATTTTGAGGCGCCTCAAAATCCGCGTGCAGTGAGGTGTATTTTGAGGCGCCTCAAAATCCGCGTGCAGTGAGGTGTATTTTGAGGCGCCTCAAAATCCGCGTGCAGTGAGGTGTATTTTGAGGCACCTCAAAATCCGCGTGCAGTGAGGTGTATTTTGAGGCGCCTCAAAATCCGCGTGCAGTGAGGTGTATTTTGAGGCGCCTCAAAATCCGCGTGCAGTGAGGTGTATTTTGAGGCGCCTCAAAATCCGCATGCAGTGAGGTGTATTTTGAGGCGCCTCAAAATCCGCGTGCAGTGAGGTGTATTTTGAGGCGCCTCAAAATCCGCGTGCAGTGAGGTGTATTTTGAGGCGCCTCAAAATCCGCGTGCAGTGAGGTGTATTTTGAGGCGCCTCAAAATCCGCATGCAGTGAGGTGTATTTTGAGGCGCCTCAAAATCCGCGTGCAGTGAGGTGTATTTTGAGGCGCCTCAAAATCCGCGTGCAGTGAGGTGTATTTTGAGGCGCCTCAAAATCCGCGTGCAGTGAGGTGTATTTTGAGGCGCCTCAAAATCCGCGTGCAGTGAGGTGTATTTTGAGGCGCCTCAAAATCCGCGTGCAGTGAGGTGTATTTTGAGGCGCCTCAAAATCCGCGTGCAGTGAGGTGTATTTTGAGGCGCCTCAAAATCCGCGTGCAGTGAGGTGTATTTTGAGGCGCCTCAAAATCCGCGTGCAGTGAGGTGTATTTTGAGGCGCCTCAAAATCCGCGTGCAGTGAGGTGTATTTTGAGGCGCCTCAAAATCCGCGTGCAGTGAGGTGTATTTTGAGGCGCCTCAAAATCCGCATGCAGTGAGGTGTATTTTGAGGCGCCTCAAAATCCGCGTGCAGTGAGGTGTATTTTGAGGCGCCTCAAAATCCGCGTGCAGTGAGGTGTATTTTGAGGCGCCTCAAAATCCGCGTGCAGTGAGGTGTATTTTGAGGCGCCTCAAAATCCGCGTGCAGTGAGGTGTATTTTGAGGCGCCTCAAAATCCGCGTGCAGTGAGGTGTATTTTGAGGCGCCTCAAAATCCGCGTGCAGTGAGGTGTATTTTGAGGCGCCTCAAAATCCGCGTGCAGTGAGGTGTATTTTGAGGCGCCTCAAAATCCGCGTGCAGTGAGGTGTATTTTGAGGCACCTCAAAATCCGCGTGCAGTGAGGTGTATTTTGAGGCGCCTCAAAATCCGCGTGCAGTGAGGTGTATTTTGAGGCGCCTCAAAATCCGCGTGCAGTGAGGTGTATTTTGAGGCGCCTCAAAATCCGCGTGCAGTGAGGTGTATTTTGAGGCGCCTCAAAATCCGCGTGCAGTGAGGTGTATTTTGAGGCGCCTCAAAATCCGCGTGCAGTGAGGTGTATTTTGAGGCGCCTCAAAATCCGCGTGCAGTGAGGTGTATTTTGAGGCGCCTCAAAATCCGCGTGCAGTGAGGTGTATTTTGAGGCGCCTCAAAATCCGCGTGCAGTGAGGTGTATTTTGAGGCACCTCAAAATCCGCGTGCAGTGAGGTGTATTTTGAGGCGCCTCAAAATCCGCGTGCAGTGAGGTGTATTTTGAGGCGCCTCAAAATCCGCGTGCAGTGAGGTGTATTTTGAGGCGCCTCAAAATCCGCATGCAGTGAGGTGTATTTTGAGGCGCCTCAAAATCCGCGTGCAGTGAGGTGTATTTTGAGGCGCCTCAAAATCCGCGTGCAGTGAGGTGTATTTTGAGGCGCCTCAAAATCCGCGTGCAGTGAGGTGTATTTTGAGGCGCCTCAAAATCCGCGTGCAGTGAGGTGTATTTTGAGGCGCCTCAAAATCCGCGTGCAGTGAGGTGTATTTTGAGGCGCCTCAAAATCCGCATGCAGTGAGGTGTATTTTGAGGCGCCTCAAAATCCGCGTGCAATGAGGTGTATTTTGAGGCGCCTCAAAATCCGCGTGCAGTGAGGTGTATTTTGAGGCGCCTCAAAATCCGCGTGCAGTGAGGTGTATTTTGAGGCGCCTCAAAATCCGCGTGCAGTGAGGTGTATTTTGAGGCGCCTCAAAATCCGCGTGCAGTGAGGTGTATTTTGAGGCGCCTCAAAATCCGCGTGCAGTGAGGTGTATTTTGAGGCGCCTCAAAATCCGCGTGCAGTGAGGTGTATTTTGAGGCGCCTCAAAATCCGCGTGCAGTGAGGTGTATTTTGAGGCGCCTCAAAATCCGCATGCAGTGAGGTGTATTTTGAGGCGCCTCAAAATCCGCGTGCAGTGAGGTGTATTTTGAGGCGCCTCAAAATCCGCGTGCAGTGAGGTGTATTTTGAGGCGCCTCAAAATCCGCGTGCAGTGAGGTGTATTTTGAGGCGCCTCAAAATCCGCGTGCAGTGAGGTGTATTTTGAGGCGCCTCAAAATCCGCGTGCAGTGAGGTGTATTTTGAGGCGCCTCAAAATCCGCGTGCAGTGAGGTGTATTTTGAGGCGCCTCAAAATCCGCGTGCAGTGAGGTGTATTTTGAGGCGCCTCAAAATCCGCGTGCAGTGAGGTGTATTTTGAGGCGCCTCAAAATCCGCGTGCAGTGAGGTGTATTTTGAGGCGCCTCAAAATCCGCGTGCAGTGAGGTGTATTTTGAGGCGCCTCAAAATCCGCGTGCAGTGAGGTGTATTTTGAGGCGCCTCAAAATCCGCGTGCAGTGAGGTGTATTTTGAGGCGCCTCAAAATCCGCATGCAGTGAGGTGTATTTTGAGGCGCCTCAAAATCCGCGTGCAGTGAGGTGTATTTTGAGGCGCCTCAAAATCCGCGTGCAGTGAGGTGTATTTTGAGGCGCCTCAAAATCCGCGTGCAGTGAGGTGTATTTTGAGGCGCCTCAAAATCCGCGTGCAGTGAGGTGTATTTTGAGGCGCCTCAAAATCCGCGTGCAGTGAGGTGTATTTTGAGGCGCCTCAAAATCCGCGTGCAGTGAGGTGTATTTTGAGGCGCCTCAAAATCCGCGTGCAGTGAGGTGTATTTTGAGGCGCCTCAAAATCCGCGTGCAGTGAGGTGTATTTTGAGGCACCTCAAAATCCGCGTGCAGTGAGGTGTATTTTGAGGCGCCTCAAAATCCGCGTGCAGTGAGGTGTATTTTGAGGCGCCTCAAAATCCGCGTGCAGTGAGGTGTATTTTGAGGCGCCTCAAAATCCGCGTGCAGTGAGGTGTATTTTGAGGCGCCTCAAAATCCGCGTGCAGTGAGGTGTATTTTGAGGCGCCTCAAAATCCGCGTGCAGTGAGGTGTATTTTGAGGCGCCTCAAAATCCGCGTGCAGTGAGGTGTATTTTGAGGCGCCTCAAAATCCGCGTGCAGTGAGGTGTATTTTGAGGCGCCTCAAAATCCGCGTGCAGTGAGGTGTATTTTGAGGCACCTCAAAATCCGCGTGCAGTGAGGTGTATTTTGAGGCGCCTCAAAATCCGCGTGCAGTGAGGTGTATTTTGAGGCGCCTCAAAATCCGCGTGCAGTGAGGTGTATTTTGAGGCGCCTCAAAATCCGCGTGCAGTGAGGTGTATTTTGAGGCACCTCAAAATCCGCGTGCAGTGAGGTGTATTTTGAGGCACCTCAAAATCCGCGTGCAGTGAGGTGTATTTTGAGGCGCCTCAAAATCCGCGTGCAGTGAGGTGTATTTTGAGGCGCCTCAAAATCCGCGTGCAGTGAGGTGTATTTTGAGGCGCCTCAAAATCCGCGTGCAGTGAGGTGTATTTTGAGGCGCCTCAAAATCCGCGTGCAGTGAGGTGTATTTTGAGGCGCCTCAAAATCCGCGTGCAGTGAGGTGTATTTTGAGGCGCCTCAAAATCCGCGTGCAGTGAGGTGTATTTTGAGGCACCTCAAAATCCGCGTGCAGTGAGGTGTATTTTGAGGCGCCTCAAAATCCGCGTGCAGTGAGGTGTATTTTGAGGCGCCTCAAAATCCGCGTGCAGTGAGGTGTATTTTGAGGCGCCTCAAAATCCGCGTGCAGTGAGGTGTATTTTGAGGCACCTCAAAATCCGCGTGCAGTGAGGTGTATTTTGAGGCACCTCAAAATCCGCGTGCAGTGAGGTGTATTTTGAGGCGCCTCAAAATCCGCGTGCAGTGAGGTGTATTTTGAGGCGCCTCAAAATCCGCGTGCAGTGAGGTGTATTTTGAGGCGCCTCAAAATCCGCGTGCAGTGAGGTGTATTTTGAGGCGCCTCAAAATCCGCGTGCAGTGAGGTGTATTTTGAGGCGCCTCAAAATCCGCGTGCAGTGAGGTGTATTTTGAGGCGCCTCAAAATCCGCGTGCAGTGAGGTGTATTTTGAGGCGCCTCAAAATCCGCGTGCAGTGAGGTGTATTTTGAGGCGCCTCAAAATCCGCGTGCAGTGAGGTGTATTTTGAGGCGCCTCAAAATCCGCGTGCAGTGAGGTGTATTTTGAGGCACCTCAAAATCCGCGTGCAGTGAGGTGTATTTTGAGGCGCCTCAAAATCCGCGTGCAGTGAGGTGTATTTTGAGGCGCCTCAAAATCCGCGTGCAGTGAGGTGTATTTTGAGGCGCCTCAAAATCCGCATGCAGTGAGGTGTATTTTGAGGCGCCTCAAAATCCGCGTGCAGTGAGGTGTATTTTGAGGCGCCTCAAAATCCGCGTGCAGTGAGGTGTATTTTGAGGCGCCTCAAAATCCGCGTGCAGTGAGGTGTATTTTGAGGCGCCTCAAAATCCGCGTGCAGTGAGGTGTATTTTGAGGCGCCTCAAAATCCGCGTGCAGTGAGGTGTATTTTGAGGCGCCTCAAAAAGTGAAGAGATTCGGTTCGGAGGTGATGTGCATACAATGGGTGGCACCTCCGTTGCCCATGCTCCCATGAGTGCAGCGAGGCACCAACGAGTGTTTGCATGGGAAGGTGAAGGGAGGTTGAGAGATGGGTGTGCACATGGGTTCAGACGGGTGTGAATTTGTCCTCTTCATATACTCGTCAATGTGGAAGGGATGTGAGGGTGGGAAAGGGGTACCAGGATTCAGGGTTTTGAGACTTGGGGTTTAGGGGTAAGAGGGAGGGACGTAAGGGTGGGGAGAGGGGTACCTGATTCCAGCAGCTGCCTGGCGTAGTGGCGACAGACCTTCCTCTCATCCAACTCCCACCACACGCACTCCCCCTCTTCCATTCCTCCACCCTCCCCTCCCTCTCCTTTCCCACAATCTTCCACCCCTCCATCGTCCGCTCCACTTCCCCCCACTCTGACGCTCCTTGCCTCCTCCCACTCTTCTCTCCTCCCCTTCCTCCTCCTCTTACCAAACACCTTCAGACAGTGCCTCACCAGCTCTGCCCTCGGACCCTCCCTTCTCTCCCCTTCCCCCTCTTCCCCTTCACCTTCTCCCCTCATCCTCTCTCCCCCTTCCGTTTTCCCCGCTTCCCCCTTCCCCCCTTCCCCGCACATAGCAGCCACGGTAGCAGCCTCAGGAATGGCACGTGGCGGCCAGTCATTGGCTGCTGCCGTCAGCAGCAGGAGGTGGAGGAGCGAGGCGAGGTATGCGGGATCGACGCCGCGCCACGTGTCGCCGATCTATTGGTCGACAGCACATGGAGATGGGCAGGCGCGGGGGTGGGGTGAGGAAAAATGTGGCTGAGAGCGTGTGGATGTGAGAACAATGAAGAGGAAGCAAGGGGATGATGGAAAAAGGGGAGCAGGAAGGGGAAGTGGGGAAAGAAATAACAATAAGTTTTTTCCTTCCCTACAAGCAGGAGAGAGGCCTTTCGGGGATAGGAGTTGGAGACTGCCCGCTGCAAACTGCAAGTGTTGGGGCCCACTGCAGTGTAACAGCCCAGTGTGAGGCGATTTTTGAGTCGACTCAAAAACTGCAAGTGTTGGGGCCCACTGCAGTGTAACAGCCCAGTGTGACACCATTTTTTAGTCGACTCAAAAACTGCAAGTGTTGGGGCCCACTGCAGTGTAACAGCCCAGTGTGCCCACTGTAAGGCTTGATAATGTGCCAACCAACTGTAGCAAGCTTTGAATCACCTTCAGCCAATTTCCTGCCTGCCCCCAGAGCACACGTGTAGCGAGGTTGTTTTAGAGACGTCTCAACTCAAAAACAACCTCGCTACACGTACCTCGCTACACGTACCTCGCTACACGTGGCATTTCCTGCCTGCCCCCAGAGCACACCCGCATTCTCTCACAGTCTCACTTGCACAGTGTTGATGCTGCTCTTCTCTCCTCTCAACACCAGCTGCTCCTCCTCTCCTCGCGCTTTCTCTTCACCACTCTCCACCCATCTTCATCGCTCTCCTACACCCACCTTCACGGCACCAGCAGCCTCCAAACCAGCTCGAATCTCCTCCTCACTTGCTTGCACTTGACCAACCAGCTCCTGCCACGTGTACCCTTTCCGTCTCCCCCTCTTCCCACTACCACCCCCCCCTCCACCCTCCCTTGCTCCATTGAACATTCCTCCTCCTCCCATCCCACCATCTCCTCTCCTCCGACCCCCTCCCTCCCCTCCTCCCTCTTCCCCCTCTCCCTCCCCTTCACCCCCTCTCAGCTCCTCCTCCTCGTCCCGCTCGTTATAAGCACATGCAGACAGCAGGTGGGTCAGGCGGGCCAGCCTAGGTGCCACGGGAACAACCTCCAGGTGGTTTGAAGCAACTGCTGCTGCAGTCACCCTCGGTATTGTCACAATTTTGAGTTTTTTTTCTTTAATGTCTATATCTGCACTGGAGGCTCCCATTGTATTTTCAGGTGCCTCTTCATGTGCTTTTTCAGGTGTATTTTCAGGTGGGTTTTCATGTGGAGGGACGAGGAGAAGCAGGTTGGTGGTGGTAACGAGCTTGAGTGCGAAGGTGCTGCTGCGAGTGCAGAGAACTGCCTCGTCCCCATCCTCCGGTGTACCCTTTATAACCAGCCTGCGATAACAAGAGGCAACAACAGGAGATGCTTACACGACGCGACGCGAGAACGAGGAGAGGGTTGACAGGCAGGGCGGAGTGTGAGAATGGTAGGTCGAGTGAAGTGAGTCATAACCCGGTCACATCACACCGCACCCACGTGCAGCTATCCATTTTAACAGAGGCATACACCCACGGCCACGCACCCATCCACACCCAGCCACACTCACGCATCGCCTCACACGTTCGATTCGGACGCACACATGCACCGCCCTAACTTCCCCCCTCCTCTCCCCCCCCCCCCCCCCTCTTATTTTGTTGTAGGTCGCTTTTCGAAATCTCAAAAAACGCCACACTAACACCCCCGTCACCCGTCGCGCAGCAGCACTGCTAGCATCGACTCGTCCACTTCCAGAAGCTATCACTCGCACCGCAGTCTCCCTCCTTACCCATCCACCCACTCGCCCCACCGCAGTCTCCCTCCTTACCACAAAGCCACTCGCCCCCCGCACCCCGCCTTACCCATCCACCCACATTATTCGCCCCGCCTCACCCATCGCTCAGCAGCTCCGCCAGCATCGACTCGTCCACTTCCAGAAGCTTCAGCTCTCCCCCATCCGACCCCGCCCCTCCCCCTCCCCCGCTTCCCCCTCCGCCAGCTGCGCGCGCCTCCTGCTGCAGGAACGGCAGCAGCGAATCACGGCACGCCAGCTGGACGCTGTCACCGACGGACATGTGGCACAGGCGGTCCGCCATGGCGCTACTGCTAGAATGGACCCGCGGGGTCGACGGTGAATTTGGAGTCGATTCGAAGCATGGCGCTTTTACTAGGAAATGTGGCACAGGCGGTCCGCCATGGCGCTGCGAGGATGGAGCTGCGCTGACGGAGCGTGTGTGTGTGGAGATGAACTTGCTTCGCTACAGTTGACTTCGCTAAGCTCGCATAGTGAGAGTAGGGGCGACTCGCGTCGACAGAGTGTAGAAATGTAAATTTTTGAAAGTGAAACACTTTCTAAAATTGTGTATTGTGAATAGCAAAGCTAATTGTACCGAAGCAAAGGCTTCGGCGAACCGCTACTTCCCCTCTTTTTGGTACAAAAGAGGGGGCAAAGGCCATTTGGCCTTCACCCACGTTTTTCATTTCGAACTTTCAAGTTCAAGTTTCGAGATTTCTCGTCCAAGCTGGCGAGGGTCAAGTCTCTCCCTCGCTTCACTTCTCCGTCAACGCACCTCTCCGACATCCTCGAGCGGAACTTATCGACGATGGTGCTGACCAACAATAATACACCCGGGGCTAAGGACTCTCCCGCTCGTCAGTCGACGGGGCTTGAAAAATCGCCTCGGGAAACAAGCGCGGAGAAAAGGAAACGCCCCGCCGAGAATCACGCCGAAGGCACCCACACGGGGGTCGACGTGCTGCTCGGCGAGGGCGGAACAGTCGCGCGACCGTCCCAGCCACGCGCGAGCCACACGCAGGCTCGAGGGCCTGCAGGCGGCAACAATGATGGCGACTTCGTCGCCACCCCTGCTGCCGCCGCCGCAGATCCGAGCGGATCTCGCGCGCCCCCCAAGCGCAGGGCGACAGATTCTGCTGCGTCAGACGGGGCGGCAGCGAATCTCTCGCCCTCTCAACTTGCGGCACTGCTGGCGCTTCTTCAAAAGCAGGCCGCGGCCCTTGCTGTAACGACGCCTGCAGCTACAATCGAAGCGGAGATTTCCGCATCCGCTAAAACTGCAAATGTGCGCAACAACATCTCTACATCCGCTCGTGTTGCCGCTCCCACCCGCGCCGACAAAGGAAAGGCGCCTGCTGTCGAAGAAGAGCCGGCCGCCCCTGTCGACAACAATTCCGACTCTGACAGCGACGAGGGTGAGGAGCCAAACAATCCTTCTCCGCATTTGTCTAACGATCTCCTTCCCCCTCTCCCCTCTCCTCATCCTTCGACCGCGGCCGCCGCCTTCAACCGCAAGGGCGTTCGTGACCAGGCGGAATTATTCGAAGCGCTCCAGAATTACCTCGCGCACGTGGAGCACAAAATCCGCGGTGGGGACGCGACCGGCGCACTCAAAACCGTTGCCCAAGCTCAAGATCTCATCAAGCGCCGCTTCGACGTGTTGGTCGTCGCCGACCATGCGGGCTTCGACGTGGCTGAACGCTACCAGCTGCTGAAGACTACAGCGGTGCTGACGTCGCGCTCCTTCAAAATGGCGGTGGCGGATATGGCGGCGCTCAAGCGCATGAAGACCGGATTCCCCCGCGGGAACCGTTCTTTCTCTCATGAGCCCGCCGCGTTCATGCCGAAGAGCATGGGAGGAGGAAGTGGCTGCCGGGGCTTCAAAGGCACCTGCTTCCGTTGTGGCCAGCATGGCCACATGGCAAGCGCGTGTCCCCATGGAGGCCATGGGGGCAATGGGCCCGCACCGGTGGTGTGAGCGAAGCCCGAACATCCCTTGCCACCCTTCCTCTCATTGCCCCAAGGCGCCCCACGCCTTGTGCCTTGGAAAGGAGTTGTGGAAGGGCGGGGCAGGACCAGGGGGTCCTTGAGTGGGCTGTTTAGCCGAGGCTAGATGCAAGGATTGCTCTAGGCCATTAAAAAAAAAAAAAAAAAAATGTGTGTGTGTGTGTGTGCGTGTGCACGTGTGTGGCCCGGGTGGCCGTGAAATTGTAATGCTATATTGGAAGTGTGATCCAGGCCGCTGGCCCCTATGGTGCATGGTCCCTATCCAAGCCATGACATGGCAAAAAAAAAAAAAAAAAAAAAAAAGGAAGGGATTCAAGAACACATGTTTTCACCAACAACCATTGAGGCAAAGCACCGATGGTGCGAGAATCATTAAATCACGCCTCGAGATAGGAGGACAAGGGGAGTGAGGCCCTGCAATTCACACCCCCTAGCACACATGGCAAAAAAAAAAAAAAAAAAAAAACATCATTGTGGGCACGAGAGAGAGGGTGAAGGGGAATGATTCGGTAGAACATCATTGTGTGCAACTGCGTCACTGCTCTTACCTCCAATGTTTCTAATGCCTCGCTGTTGGGGCATGCACAAGCACGCGAGAAGTTGGTTGGTGCGAGATACATGTTCATGTCGTTTTTACAACGTTCGTCTGATTGATTCTTATGAACTCTTCCTCGTTCTACTCGCATAACATGTTCACGTTGGAATAGCGCCTTGTGGCTTGACCTAAAAGGGTTGATATACGACTACTATTGACCCAACCCAACCGCCATGGCAGGCGCTTGTCCCTCACGACCGGGCGAATGGAGTAAGACCATGGAGCATGCGATCACTGACAAGGAAGTCACCACCATGGGGGGTCGATTGCGTCAAGCTTTCGCTTGGTGGGCTTCATGGTGCGAGAGCAGTCTCATCCTGTCAGTCATGGCAAATGGATATTGGCTTCCTTGGAAAGCGGCCCCACCACCGTCGTTTCGTAACAAGAATCATGCCGGCATCGAGCGGCATAGCGAGTTTACACGATCGGCAATCTCCGACTTGCTCTCATCCGGTGCAGCAGCAGTCGCAGAGGGCCCACTCCTCGTCGCATGTATTAGTCCACTAAACGTCGTGGAACAGCGCGACAAGTGTCGACTTATCTTGGACTTGAGAAAAGTCAACCAGTACCTCGTTATTCCTAAATTCAAGTACGAAGGCTTGGCGCGAGTCGCCGAGTTGGCACAACCGGGCGACTGGATGTTCTCCATCGACCTGAAGTCCGGATACCATCACGTCGATATCCACCCGTCCTGCTGGAAGTTCCTGGGGTTTCACTTCGACGGCACGGATTACTACTTCAAGTCGTTATCGTTCGGCCTTGCAACGGCACCCTTCCTTTTCACTCAATTGATCAAACAACTGGCTCGAAAATGGCGTGCGCAAGGTACTCGGGTCATTCCATATATGGATGATATCTTATTCCTCTGCCAATCGAAGGAGAACGCACGCGCGACACGTAATGCAATCATTCGGGACCTACGACAGTCGGGCCTTGTCATCAACGCTAAAAAATCGCACCTCACCCCGACCCAGAAACTGCAGTTTCTCGGGATGGAGTTGGACACTCAATCAGGAAGATTCACCATCGGCCCCGAACGTCGAGCGCAACTCATGCATACGCTCCGGGTGCTTCTCACCGCCTACGAGCGTGGACAACGGATACCAATCCGCCTTGTCGCACGGGTCACCGGCATCCTCGCTTCCATGGCGCTGGCTCTTGGCACAACGGCACGAGCATTCAGTCACCAACTCCTAGAACTCATCAATACTGCGCCATCATGGAATGGCAGAACACACCTGACCTTGGAGGCTCGTGACGAGCTCAACTTCTGGCTCGACAATTTCGATCGTTTTAACGGGGCGCCGTTTCACATGCCCCACAGCATCGACACGGTGATTCATGTAGACGCAAGCGCTCACAGTTGGGGTGCGACCCTAGCTTCGTTCCCTGGAGAAAACCTGCAAGGCAGCAGCCCAATGCCGCACGAGCTCCTCACCACCTCGAGTACACGCCGAGAGCTCGAAGGAGTGCTCTGGGCCCTGCGCACATTCTCAAACCAAATTCAAGGCCGCCATGTGCTCATGCGCGTGGACAACCAGGGCGTATTCTTCCCTCACCTCGCACCGTGTCCTCCCTTCTCAGGACGTCACGTTCAACGAGTCGGTTCCCTTCTACCGTCTCTTCCCCTACCGCTCTGCCCCTTCCCCGCCCCCGCCGCTCTTCCTTGCTCCCGGTCCACCTCCGGTAGACCCCCCTCCGCCCCAGGGTCGTGCTCCCTCGGGAGTGTCTCAGGTAGACCCTCTCCCTGGTACTGCGCCTGTTCAGGTTGCTGTCGTCTCAGGTGCTGCTCCAGGTGCTGCGTCTGGGGGTGCTGCGTCTGGGGGTGCGGAGCTGGGGGGTGCGGGGTTTGAGGGTGCTGGGTCTAGGGGTGCTGAGCCTGAGGGTGTTGAGCCTGGGGGTGCTGAGTCGGAGGGTGCGGAGCCTGGGGGTGCTGAGTCGAAGGGTGCGGAGTCTGGGGGTGCTGAGCCTCGGGGTGCTGCTTCGTCTGGAGGTCCTGCTGGTGCTTCACTGCGACTGTCCTCGCAGCAGCTACGTGAGTGGCTTGTTCAGCACCCACATCGTCGGAGTGGAGCTCCTGTGGCTGGCGAGCCTGGAGACGCTAGAGCTGGAGGTGCTGCTGTTACTACTGGAGCTGGAGACCCTACGGAGCCTGGAGCAGCTGGCGCCGGAGGCGCTGGAGTTGGTGTAGCTGGAGTTGGAGGCCCTGGCGCAGGAGGTGCTGGAGCTGCAGGAGCTGGAGCTGTTGATCCTGGAGCTGGAGGTGCTGGAGGCACTGTGCGGCCGCGCCCGTACTTCGTTCCCCTGCTTCAGCAGGTTCTTGGTGTCCCGTCTTCTACTGGTCTTCCTCCTCCCTTCCTGTGTCCACCGCCTGACCAGTCGCAGCCGCCGTTACAGCCAGCCTCCCCACTGACTGTTCCCTCTCCTTACACTGAGCAGTCTGGAGTTCTTACAGAGCGTCGTGAGCCTGCGTCTCGTCCTGTCTCGCCTGTTCGCACTGCTCGTCGAGCTCCTCGTTCGCGTCCTCCTCTTGTCCCGGGCACGCACACTATGGCACTCCGTCCTTCCTCTGTTCCACTGCGTGTTCCTCTGCCTGCTCCTCCTGAGTCCTCTCTTCCTGAGGCCCCTGACCCTGAGTCTGACCGAGCGCGTGCTGCCACTCCCACTGTCGCTCATCT